AGTTATTGTGAGGCACAGAGTCAGTAAGCTTCAAGTGCTTTTCCTCGAGCGCTTCTGGGGCCGGAGGAGTGCCGTTTTTGGATGAATAATGCTCGTAACAGAACCCGAGGTTCGGACTCATATTTTCTATGATCTAATGAAAACATGGCACAGAGGCTCGATTGATCTTCCAGATCTTCTGTTACCGAACTCTGCATCCACATGGAACACACTGATTTTCTTTTATTTCGATCGTCTTTTCGACATTTAAGATCATCTTTAGGTTCTCTACAGAGTTTTCTATACGCGCGTATGACGCAGTCAGTCTAAATTATTACGCGATAACCAGCGCGTCTTTGTTTACAACGGCAGGAGCCCATTACCCTGACAACGGCCATTTCACACTGAAGAAGGGACAGTAGTCTCGAAACATCAGATAACTTTTTATTATTATTTTTTCAGTGCAGAAACATTTTTCATTTCGAAATTATACAGTATCAGGAGCCATAATTATGGCTCCTGACAGTATGTAAGATGTGCTACACAGTATAGTAAAGTATTTTGCATCAGCCATAATGATATGCCGGTCATGTTGCCACGGTAACATTGTTGATAAAACCTCGGGCTGAGATCAGAGAATCTTTATAATTCAGACCGAAAACGCAAGGGATAACCAGGTCGCAACAGAAGCATATCACCTTGCTTCTGGCCGCAACAAACGACTCCTTCATTTGCAGTAGCGCGCGACTTTTCGACCAAAACAAATGTTGCGCCTTCAGTCTGGGTAAAAAGTGCCAAGGCAGTTGATATCGAAATCCCGCCTCGACCTCCGAGACAGGACTGAGCCCGCGGTTTTCTTCCCCGAAATTGCTAAGCAACATGACGTATTGGTTCGCACGATTGCTTTCGGAGTACTCGTGAGTGCTCGCGCTAGTTTTTGATTGGATAAAATGATTCGTAACTCTTCGAGTGCTTCAACGAAGATTTGCGAAAACTTGCACTCAGTTCCCCCGACTGCCTTAGGCACCGTTTACACGAACGCGGTTTCAAATCTACACGGATAAACGAATTCGTATCCGCGTTCAAAAGAACACGGATAAGAAGCGTTTACACGAAAACGATTTTTTCGTTTTCGGTGATGTTACGTCATGGCCGTGATGGGCTGGACACAAATAACCTTGAGCCTTGAAGGTTCGCGCGCGCCAATCGTTTTCAAATAGTGCGGGAGGAAAATCATGTGTGTGTGTAATTAAGTTTTCAGCTTTGCGTCGCTTGTGGAATAACAGCCAAGCGTGAAATTATTTTACGAAATTTTCGCCAAAAAATAATCGTTTGTATTCCCTTGAACTCACGCTCGGAAAATAACAAAGGCAATCGCAGAGATGCTAACAATTTTAGGTTACGTTGGTATTATTTGAAAAAGAAAATGTCGTAGAACATAAGGTGCGCGTGCACCGTTAATTTACTGACGTCACAAACGCACGCGCGTGCGCTATCTGACACAAGACGCAACTTCGCAACAACTACCACAGAGACGAGAAAATTGTTTAGCTCGCTAAAAAACAAGCGGTACACTATAAAGTTCCTGAAAAGCTAGAACGGTGTTCAAAAGCAACATGGCATCTGCTCCTCACGAGAAAACACCATTACAATCGGCCGCGTTTACCATACAAGACGGGCATAATGCCATCGCAATATTGCAAGGTCAGGCTGCCAGACTTGAAGATCGAATGGCAAAATACTTCCATCGTTTGGACGAAATGCAGAAGCTCTACGAGCGGACGCAAAGAGAGATTGAAGCCACCGAGAGAAGGATAAGAGAGGAAGACGACTTGATTCAGAAACAACGTGCAGCGAAGAAAATGGAACGTGCTACAGCTTTTATACGGACAGTCCAAAGAGTTATAAGAAATAACGAGCTCGAGAAAGTTGCACGCGCGGCGGCATCGCTGAATGAGGAAGAAGAAGAAGAAGAAGATATTTAACCGACATGGCATGAATGTTGCAAACAACAACAGCTTCTTTTTTATCTGTAAGATAATGAGTAATTTGCAAGTGCAGTCAATTATGTTGAGCTATTGATATCAATTAAAAATAAATCAGCTTTGAAACTAGATTCAGCCGTTGAATTAATGGATTTTAATTTGTTACTTTATGGTCTGCGCGGTCTATAGGGGACTGCAACTGATAAGGATACTTACAACAATGAAAAAGTAACTGTTTAAAAAAACGTACCATTAACAAACCCAATGTTAATGCCAGGAGTCAAATCCTTGCCCTCTTTCACTCGGCTAAATACTCGAACGAGATAAATCATCGCTCGCCAACCACAACTGCCTGCACTGCAAGGTAGGTCATGGTTTATGAACCGTCGCGGCACACACCTGTCCTGAAGTGACGGGAGTATACCCCCCGGGTATAAGGGAGGTATTGCTCATGTTGCATGTAGCTACAGCGTTTCCGACGTTATTTGAACGCGCCCTTAGATAATAACGACTAAAATCCTGGCCAAATGGAGTCGCAAATAGGCGAAAGTTTCCAACTTGTCAGGCTTGTGTCGACTTGCGAAGTCCTTCGTTTGGCCAGGACTTGCGCGCAGTAATGTTTACTCTCATACTCGCGTACACTTTGATCGAGATCAAATTTGCGCGCAAGTGAACGCACGTTTTACACCGTTTGGCTACCCAACGCAAGTATTGAACCAGCCTCTAACATTGAAACGTATTTTTTTGGCAAGGTCCTTCCATTTGCGGAGTTAGTTTGGCAACGCAAGTCTGTGCGCAAGTTCATATTTCAAAACTTACGATTACAAATACTTGCAACCCCGTTTGGCTAACTTCGCGCGCGCTTTATAAGTTGATTTCTTCACACGCAGTGGAGATAATAGTGCGTTCCGCAAGCATCCTTAATTCCACACGGTTCTTTTCCATTGCCTTTGTCAGTATATATACTTTAACAATACTGGACTGGCGCAATTTTGGATGCGGAGATTGAAAATGCTGACGCGCGCGCGTGACATCACAGAAGAGCGCGCGCAAATCTACAGCAGAAGACGCAACTCAATTGTTACGAAAACACAGACGCGTTTTAGAGCAATTGTGCGCAACAAAGCGGGTGCAATTGTTGACTTCAAAAACAAGTGTTGAATAGCAACATGGAATCTGCTGACGAGAAAAGACCAGTGCAATCAGTTGTATTTTCCATACTAGAGGGGGAAAGTACCACCACAAGATTGCATCGACAGCTTTCCCTACTTGAATACAAAGTTGAAAAGCACTTCCGCGATGCAGACGAAACATTAAAGATGTGCGAGCGAGCACTTGAAGAACTGGAAACCTCCAAGCTGAGGATGAAAGAGAAATACGAACTTGCGATACAGAATGCAGCGAGAAAACTCAAGCTTTTTTTAGCTCTTAAAGAGATGAAGGAAAAAGTTAGAAGAATGGAGATGGAGAAAGCCGCGAGTTCGCTGGAATTAAAAATGCCTGACGCGGCACAAAACGCTTTAAGATATACCACAAGTGCTCGAGTGTGAAGCTATATCAAGATTGGTTGCGCCTTGGTGTTTGACACTGTAGCAGCGTATGCTGACAAGAGCCGGGTATTTTTTCAGCTGTTTTCTTGAGTCCGAATTTTTATAGTTTTCTATAAGGCTGAAAAGTACACTAATTGTTGTAAGTTGTTGTTGTTAGTTTTGACACTGTTGTGAATAGAGATCGATACTTTTTTGCTAGAATAGTTGTCGAGCGAGTCTTAGAAAACTTCTTCTATCAAATCTGTAGGAGCTAATCTTGAAGTCATGTTACAGCGACAAGCAAATGTCAACTGAATGCAATGGCGGGAAAACATAAATGATTTCTGTCGCTAGTGGAAAAATCGTATTAAGATTTGGTTTCGTCGTACGATATTTTTCAGATGTAGATGAACGTTTAATCGTTTGTCTCACGATGGAGTCGCTTTGAGATGTTGATCGCGACGTTTCGACTGCTTTACTGCTAGTCTTCATCAGGCGATGAGGTCAATTGTTTACGTGTCGCTATATGTTTAAGTGTCGCGATATTTTTCACTTCCTCGTATTTAGAAATTTCCAACGAATGTCGCACCATTTTTACACGGTATTCCTCTTGGCATTAAAATAGTTGGCACGACATGCGCACAGACCAGGGCATTTAGCCATAAGTGATATCTACTGAAATGTAAAAGCGCACCATTTATCAGTGTAGCTTAAAATGACATTTGCGCGCAGTGGCATAATAATGGTTAACTTCGGATCGAGCGGTCCGGGTTTGAGCTCTGGTCTGGGTCATTGTGTTGTGTCCATGGGCAAGACACTTTACTCTCACAGTGCCTTTCTCTACCGAGCTGCCTGACAATATGGTGGCTGGGAGGTAACCTGCGATGGACTAGCATCCCATCCAGGGGGAGTAGCAATACTCCAAGTCACTTCATGCCATGGAAACTATGAAAAGCTCCGGCAGTGTGGGCCACGAGGCACGTGAAGACTTTACCTTTGCTTTCTTCTCGCGCCATAGAAAAACGTAAAACGTAATGTTAGTAGTCCAGAGCTACAATGAGTTGCAAAATGGATGAGACACTCTCTTCAAAAACAAAAGCATGTCTTCGTTTGAAAAATAAACAAATAATTTCATTTCTAACCCCCCCAGTTCTAATCCCCCCAATTCAGTGTTGTTTCTAAATGGTTTGAATGTATTCCCGACATTTTGACAACATTGATACGGGGGAGAGGGGGTGTACAAGGAATAATTTTTAAAATGTCTGAAGTTGTCCTCTTAACGAAGAATGTCTCAACTCTTTATGCAAACAATTGTAGCTTTCAATGGCTTTGATCATGGGTTACGCAAACAATCAAGGACGCAAGGAAATTAACGATAACTATACAAGGGAGTATGCACTCTTTCCATGTCTTGCGCTTTTGATCTGTATTTTGGTTCGAACTAAAACTGCGATGAGAAAGATATTATTCAGTCAGTGACATAAGCTACTCGGAAAAAAATTCCGAGTTCTCCTAATGGGAGTCGAACCTTTGACCTTCCACACACCGGTCGGACGCTCTACCGCTGAGCTACAGGAGATTCGAGGGAGCTTATACTGTAGGTCATAAAAAATTACTTTATACTCTGTTTTCTGTTATATCCCCCTAATTTCGTGGCTTTCGTTCATTAGAATAATCAATGCGCCAACAGCAGGGCCCAAACACGGTGCAACATTGTGTGCAATGCTGCGCGCAATGTCTGAATTGCAGTGTGTGTCCAACCCTGAACGTTTTGCGCGCCTTATTGCGTGCAATGTTGCAGATGCAGAATCGCTTTCTACTTCTGCAACATTGCGCGCAACAAGTTAACCGTGTGCCCCCACTATCTGCAATATTGCGCGCAACACGTTGAACGTGTGCGCACTATCTGCAATATTGCGCGCAACACGTTCAACGTGTGCGCACTATCTGCAACATTGCGCGCAACACGTTCAACGTGTGCGCACTATCTGCAACATTGCGCGCAACACGTTCAACGTGTGCGCACTATCTGCAATATTGCGCGCAACACGTTCAACGTGTGCGCACTATCTGCAACATTGCGCGCAACACGTTCAACGTGTGCGCACTATCTGCAACATTGCGCGCAACACGTTCAACGTGTGCGCACTATCTGCAACATTGCGCGCAACACTGAGTTTAATGCGTGCACACTATCTGCAATATTGCGCGCAACACGTTCAACGTGTATCCACTATCTGCAACCTTGCGCGCAATTAACGTGTGCCCACTGCCTGCAACTACATTGGACCTGCAATATTGCGCGCAATGGCGTGGCACAACTATCAGCCATTTTCTGCCTTCTGACCGTATCCAATCTCGGTTTTTTCCTCCTTGGCTACTTGATAAGGCTACCGTCGCCATTTTGGTTACGTAATTGTCAGACATCAGAACTTACTTGCCGCATCAGCAATGTTGGGCAAAATGTTTCAGCGTGTGGCAACGTTAAGTGAACTGAAATTGTTCCGCGCAGTGTTTTGCTACAGCATGTGTCCAGGCTTAAATAGAGTTGACTTGTCTCCTTGCAATTTCATGAGGCAAAATGACAAAACTTCTATCATGCGGGCGAGTCTTCCAGTGCGGAGCTTTCACAATATGGATTGTTGGTCGCGCACGTAAATGTAAGCGATCGATCCAAAGATCAGAGGATGCAAGATTTGATAAAGCAGTCATAACTAACATGTAGTGCTACATGGAAATAAGCAAGCAAGTTGGCAAAGATAAGGGAGCAAATAAACACGATAGAAAGTAAAATATTGATATCGTAAGGAAAAGTCATGATAGGATCCCGGAAGCGCGGTGGCCTAATATAATGGCTAGTGCGTTGGACTCCGGATCAAGAGCGTTGGACGGCCCACATCGCATGAGCTTATGCCGCTTTCACTAATTATAACATGAAGCGACTAGCAGTATTGCTACTCTCCCTGGTTGGGATGCTAGCTAGTCCATCGCAGGTTACACCCTGATACAAATAATAATTTTTTTAAAAATTGGGTCGGTCGGGCGATGGGAAACAAAACATTTTATGGGGATGGCCTTAGTTTATGAAAATTTCTGTTTCCTTTACCACTTGTTCGTGTACAACCCGTTAAAGTTAGCTTCTCGTACGCGTCCTACGCGTGTACACACCAGGTTTCCTCTCTTGCAACGTGCTAATGTCCCGGAGGGTACTCCCTATAATGGACTATACGGGGAGGCTCCGCCCGAAAGGGGTAGCTTTTTCAGGCTGGGGGTATATAAAAGGGTGGGGATTTCACGAGTTGCAGTATAGAAAAGGGTATGGAAAACTGTCATTTAGGTGTTTAAAAGGGCCCTTCAAACTTTCTCGGACAGACGCACCTAACGGCTGATTCATCAAATATTTTAAGGGGCTACTCAAGCGAAAAGTTTAGTAAAAGTCGTAAAAGGGATGCAGTGTTTCAACTATAGGTATGTGAAAGGGGTACCATTTTCTATGGAAGGTATATGAAAGGGTCACCTTTTCTGTCAAAACTGGTATATAAAAGGGTAAGGGTTTGGACCTCGGGGCGGAGCCTCCCCGTATAAAACTTTGTTGACGTGCCCCCCCCCCCCCCCCCCCACCCCCGGCCTACGTTTTACTACAAAAGCTAAAAATAAGTTTCCTGACAAAGTTTTAAAATATTTTAACTTTGGTTTTAATATTAGTTTTACCGGCTGTCCGGAACGGTAACGTTAAAAATAAGGGCAGCGACAAAGTTCCTCGACGTCCTCTACTCCTGTCTGCCTTGTGCCTTTCCCTCGATGACTCCACGGGTGTAATTCTTTGATTCTCGCTCAAATTGTTCCCTTCATTTTCTCGCTCAGAATACTAATTTATACTGATTGTTATATATACTGATAAGTTGTCAGATTAGTTAGATTAGCAGATTAACTGTCCCCTTTACTTAATGGAAGTTGAAATAGCATTCGGGACGTCCAAAAATGGTTTCCCTCCCCTGAATAGAGGTATCCCTTTAACAGAGGTAATAGATACAAAGATTGAGTAAGCGATTGAGTGTTTTACCGGGTCAAAGCTTTGTGTCCCCTTACTAGGAGGTTTCCCCTTAATGTAGGTGTCCCAAAAAATACTTTTAAGTCTGTGGATGAAACCTTAGTATGTGACCATTCAAATGAAAGCTTACGAGTTGCACTTTCATGTGGTTCTGATTGTTTTTCAATATTCTACGACATGAAATTTGGGATTTTTTCCAAGTTTGACCTGTGGCTCTTAGTGGGAGTGAAAGGGTCAAAATGAGACAAAATGATTGAATACGAGGCTAATAAAAGTTCTTCCCGTCCATTAAACCGAATATAGATGAACAATACATGACAACACTGCTTGGGCATGAAAGAAACGGCGGGACTTATTTCCAAGTTCCTTTTTTTCGACATCCGCTGTCAGACAATAAACACTTTCAGACAGATTTATTTGCAGTTGCGGAAACAGCCAACCTACGCACATAAATCATGGTTTTAAGCTTTAACTGTATAGATTTTATAATTAGCAACATGTAGATATTATATATATATATATATATATATATATATATATATATATATATATATATATATATATATATATATATATATATATATATATATATATATATATATATATAATAATAACAAAAATAGAAATTCCATTTATATATCACACGTTTATTTTATCAGTCACAACAAAACAAGAGACTCGCTTCGCTGCCGCCATCTTGGAAGCAGGGAAGGTTACCAAGTCTGTTTGAAAGGTTACAAAGTTCAGAATAAGTTCGCCTGTTTTGAGCGTTCCGCATTATATCCTTTACTTTCTAGCTATCTGCATTGTTCGTGACGAAAACAATTGTTTATTTCAGACCAACGCGTGTGTATATTTTTAATTTCGTCTGAGGTTAAATTCGTGTTAGTTGTGGTATTTATTTTGGCGAATAATTCGTCTGTAACACGTGGGCGAATTATCCGTCTTAGTTTCGTGAAGATAATAAACGACCAATGACACGAAATGTGTGTTTTTGTTTTGAATTTCTTCAATTAAAATATCCAAAAATGAGTGAAATAATCCTCGCAGTGTGCAAGCACGTAAGCAAAGTGGTTATCGAGTTTCTGGACGTTAAAAATGCCTTATATTTTAGTTTTAACTGTTCAACTCCATTTCCACAACATGAAATGTCTTACATGTATGCTATTTATGCTATTGAATACACCTGAACGTGGCTAGCAGCTTAAATTTGGATTTCCTTTGGTTTGATATATTTGATTAAATTTTTATAGACATCCGTCAATCAGAATTGAAATTTCTAGACCGTAGAAACGTGGGTGGCTCCGATGTTATTTTTTTCCGAAAATAAAAATTGTCAGGTGCTAAAATATTCGTCCACGAATTCGACAGAATAGAAACGTGCCACATTTTTCTCCAAACTGTTCATGTTTCTGTGGTTTCTGGGTCATTCTAAACTCGTGTTCTTTCAAAAAGCATACGTTGCGTTTTAATAGCATCCGTGATTCAAATAAACTTTATCTAATGTCTGGAACGCTTGAAGTTGCTTGATCCTTGCTAAACCAACGTACACCGCACCCTGCTTTTGGCAGTGTTATGGAGGGCTCGATTTCCGTATGTCAGATTTCAATCGACTTCTTGCTGTGTTTAAAAATAGTCTTTACTGCCCGTGACAACCTCCTGTGGTCTCCTGTGTCTCTTTGATGATAGCTCTATTTTATCTAGATTATCTTTTCTGTTTCTCTAATCGAAATGTAAATACATGCAGTGACCTTGTAAAGATTTTTTTGTCATGTCAACGGCTTTACTGTTATCATGACGAACGCCTGCCCCACCTCAACGTCATGTACTACAAGTGGGATCGAAATTCCTTTCAATTCGAACCTACTCCAGCCCCACAAAATATTTACAATTGTGCCAACAATTTTGAATTAGAATAGACAGTGACGAAATTCACGTGGGAAAAAACGGCTTGCAAGGCGGCGAAGTATTTAGATAATTGCGTTTGTTTGCGCAGCGCATTCCTGAAAAGTTTACGATGAAGTATCATTGCACAATGTTCTTGACGCAGGAAACATACGAATGCATGCTCGTGCGCGCGATATGGTGGAGCAACAAGAATGGGTAAAATGATTAGGCGAGGTCACGAGGGGTTAACCTGCTGCCACGAGGAGTGAACGCGGGCTGCTTTGCATCCTCGAGAAGTTTACATAAAGAATCACGCCATCTTATGGGCATGTTTTTCCAAGTGGAGTTTTTCCCACGCAAAACAATAGCACGCTTTTGCAAATAGGAGAACCATCGGAAACTCGACACTGTACTAGAACAATGCAGCCCTTAGCCTTGTTATTTCAGTAAACAACTATTGGGTAAAGGCGTCTAAATTCGGCTCGAGGAATGTTTTTGCAAACCCAACCCACAGCGGCCTAACCATTCCAGGGATACTTTGCCGACAAAACGTGTGAACAATGGCGGGAAATGTTTTGGCAAACAGGACAACCGCATCGCGATGCGAAATGAGTTGCCGACAGAGCCATAACACACCGTGT